TGATTCTGATTCTATCTCCCTGAGATAGTCATTGATGTTGGACTCACTGGTTTTAGGATCAAAGCGCCCTATGTCCTTAGCTAGCGATTCAATTTGACGTACACGGAGTCCTGACTCACGGTACGGCGCGTCATCCTCTGATTCTGACCCAGGGTCTGTCTCAGAGTGCGCTGGATATCGTTGGTGTGTTCTGGGCTCCCAAAGCTGATTCCTGGGGCCCAAATCGGGGTCCGGCACGCTGTGGCGGGCTGCTGGCATGTCATGTGGGTGCCTTGGGAGGTCCTCCTCCTGGGGCCCGTCTGCGTGGTGCAGCCTGCATCTTCCAACTGGGGCTTCTGTGTAATACGCTCTGTCCGGGTACGGACTGGCGCAGGATGCTTTGTCATGCAGCTGGTTACCGGCATGCCGAATACCGGAGTAGCTAGGATGGGTGGATGGTTGAGGTGCAGGGGTATACTGTGCATAACCCCAATCGGCACCTTGCACCCGTTGTGGACTGGGGGAGCGGTCCCAATAGAGGGGCCGCTCGGCTGGTCGACTTCTCACTGATTGAGAAGGCCATGAAGATGAGGGTGGTGGTACAACCTGGGGTCCGAGGGCGGACTGCCCTCGGCCCCTAGGTGGTCCTGAGTGCCCTATAGAGTGTGTAGGGAACGGGGCCGAAGGTTGGGACTGATAAGCTTCATCTCTCCCCTGCGGCGTGCGTCCGTCCAGAGAGTCCCACACTACATACTGTCGATTACTGTATGGGGATGTATCAGGAGGCAGACTATCAGGTACCTTGGAAAGAGGTGGCCTACCTTTACGGCGGGACGGCTGTCCCTCGCTTCCTCTGGTGGAGGAAACCAATTGCTCTTTGCCGATCGTCCTGGGCGGACCCAAGTCGGCTCTGCCGGTTTGCTTTCGTACCGGCGTGGGGGAGGACTCAAACTCAACCTCAGAGTCGTGGTGTACCCCCGCTTCCCACAGTGTGTTCTCATCAGTGGGGGGGGGGAGGGGGGGGGGGGCGGGGTCTCCTCCCCATCTTCCCCAGAATCGTTTCTGGCGTCGTCGTCCTCCTCGTCATCCTGCATCGATCTTCCATTTCGCTGTTTTTCAGCTAGGATACTCTGGAGTTCCATGATCTTCTGATCACGTTGAAGTTCTCTCTGATAGAGGATCAAGACTAACTTAGCCAAGGGAGCCTGGATTGGAACTTTACCGTCCGGGTTCTCTATTTGGTACATCACAGGGCCGAGCTCCTCGCTACGCTGTTCTTCAGTGAGGCTCCTTACGGAGTAGGCGGGTTCCCGGGTGATCCCAACCAGTTTGGACAGCATTTGTCCAGAAAATAGGCCAGGTTCATAGTCGTGGGCTGCAGCACCACCTGGTTGCTGGGAGCTGGTCAGGTCACTACTCTGATCCCCCATTTTAAACAACCGAACCAAGAAATAGCCTAGCAGAGCTTTGCAAAGCTCAAAAGCTGCACTTCGTGGCAGCAACTGCTAGCTTGTAGCAGAAACACTAAATTAACCTCTTGGTGCACACAGGTTTTAGCATTTAAAAATGCATGGAGATGCCGTGACTAACGCATAAAATATATTCCCTTCAGTATTTTAGCAAAAAGCTGTGCCGGTGCGTTGCCGTAGCAACATCTTACAACACTTGTAGTGTTAAAAGTGCTATTTATTCCTTCAGAATATTAGCAAACTGTGTTATCAGTCTTTGATTGAAGGTTTTGGTTAGCTTTCTTAGCCACTGTGAGTTGAAGTTGCTAAATTAGCAGTTAATTTTAACCTAAAAGGTTAGCCAGAATTATTGTCTTTCACACTCCTAGAAGCTCTTGGTCATTGGTGAGAGATTGATGCAGCTTCTAGGTTTCTAAAACAAGATGTCTTTCTGTCTTGACCGAGCTGGCCAGGAGAGGGAGCCAAAACACTGTTCAGTGAAATCAGCCCCAACCCGTTGTCAGCTGGTTCAAGGCTGACTAGCCACAAGGATCCAAAGAATTTGTGTGTATAAAAATCAATCCGCGGTGTATCGCTGCCTCACACGGGGCACAATATATGTTGGGGATTATTGGTCAAACGAATAATTTGTAAGCTTTTACTTACTTTTTGGATTCTTCAATAAAATTTGTAAATATGGAAATATTTACCGATTTTATTACATAATTAGGATATCCGGAGATATCCTCGGGGCACCACCCTTTCTAAAAAAAGGGAAATGAATCCAAACCTCTTATCAATCTTGTCTAAACGTTCCATGAATCTTAACGAGCTGCAGTTAATTCTTCATATCACACAAACAAACTCAATCTGAGACAAAAATCTTGATTGGCAATACATTTATTAACTAATATCATCACTTCAGCTCCTTCTGAAGCGTTTAGCCAATCAATATTAACCAACTGATTTTATCAAATGAATAACAAACAATAAAACAATGAAAATGATACCGTAAAACAATCTGACCCAATGGTGTAATCAAAATGGAGGGAGATCTGAAAACCCAAGATGGCTGATCCTTTGTCTGGCTGAAAGTATCAAACCATGTGTGTTAGGGGTGCAACGATACACAAAATGGACGGTTCGGTTCGATTCGATATATTTGTGTCACGGTTCGATATTTTTTCGATACAAAAAAATTGTATTCATGCCTTTTTTAATTTGTCATTCATTGAAATTTATTACAAATATTTGTTTTAACTCAAAAGTACAATTTTGTAAATTAAATGTTGCTACAATAGCAAACTTATGTAACAAAGAAAATAATCTGTGAAAAACCAAAGTAGCTTTTTTCCAAAATAATAGCTATACTATAGCCTTCCTCTGGGCTATATTCTCAGCAGCAATTAAACAAGGTCCCTATAAAATGAACCATTCTTTTATGGAACTCCCCCTCACACTCATCTTCTGGAGTGCTAACACTTAGCTGCATATACAACAAAAATAACTTAAAAAATGTTCACTTAAACACAAACCAAATATCAGTTACTCAACTTCCATGTTTTTCTTCAGAAAAATAAGGATGTCAACATGTTCTGCTGACAGTACAGATCTGCTTGCTGTGACAATGTCACCTGCAGTGGAAAACACCCTCTCACTTGGGACAGAGGTCCCTGGTACAACCAAGTAACACAGTGCCAACTTGGAAAGGTGAGGGTACAAGCTGTGATGTTCTTTCCACCATCTCAGTGGATTATCATCGATGTGAATGCAGCCCGCTAACCTATACAAGTTAATTTCCTCATCTGCCACTTTGGCTGCAGACCTGGTCCTTGGCTCCTGTCCCATGAACAGTTCTCCAAACAACTCCTTCATGGCTGACTTCTTCTCTGGTGGAGATGATGATGATGAATCTGAAGAGTGTGGTGCTTCAGTATCCGTAGAGGGGGCTGTTGTTGTGTTGCCTGCAGCTTGGCCCTGAAAAAATACAAAAAACAAAAATACAAATAAATTAAATTAATTGTATTTTTTTTAATTAAAACTTGCAACTCATGTAGTAGCAAAAGAAATTATCAAACATTTATAAAATAATACTTACTTCTTCAATGCTCAGGACAATCTCTGTGTTGAGTGCTGCAAAAATTCTCAGTTGAGTTGCATCATCCAAGTGTCGCAGGGACTTGAAGCGTGGATCTAAAGCCGTGCACTTGTGGAGGTAATGCTGAATGGCAGGATCTGTGTATCTCTCCTCCAGGTCATCCCTGATGGATTTTTTTACATCTCTCACTGTTGTCTGAGCTCTGTGTAGCTCTTGACGTACAGCCGTCTGAGGTCAGAGCAACAGCGGGTGCTGCTGACACTGCCGTCTCTAATTTGGCTTTCGTCTCATTGTACAAAGCAGGAACTGCGGTCTCCGTGAAATAGGTTCGTGAAGGAAGATTGTAACGGGGCTCAAGTACTCTCAGCATCTCCCGAAACCCGATCTTGTCTACTACAGAAAACGGTCGCATGTCGACAGCAATAAAAGTAGCTATCGCCCTGTCTATTTCTTTTGCCCTCTTGGAATCACGTGTAAACGGCAGTCTAAATGACTCGGAAAGAGCTTGTTGCATGCTTGGTTGTTGTTGTTTTCCCTGCCTCCACTTGTCTTTGCATCAGGGTGATGTACAGTCATATTTGTTGTGTTCCCGCTGACATGATTAAGCATTGTGTGGCATCTCCGACATACTGTGGTAGTTTTGTCCGTGACGCGCTTACCATCAGGGTCACGCTTCACATGAAAGCCAAAAAAGTTCCAAACTCCAAATCTGAAAGACGGAGGAGGTTAATCTCGGGGACCGCTGACGCAGCTGCCATGACTAGCGATTAGCCAACTTCTCATGTCTCGTTACCAAGCATGTGGGCGGCGCTAAGTGGATCTGCGCTCGACAATGCGACCTCAGGCGGAGTAGTCGAACGCAGATCACCCAGATCCACTGGATCTCATCGTCAGAAGAAAAAATGATAAAAATAAATAAAAAAATACTGTATTGTTCGGTACATATGCGTACTGAACCGAAAGCTCCGTATTGAACGGTTCAATACGGGTACATGTATTGTTGCACCCCTAATGTGTGTGTGTGTGTGTGTGTGTGTGTGTTCTCAAACTTTCACACAGTTAGAGGCAAACTTTCATTTCACACTAACTTCCTCAAACACTTTAACTTTCTTCACAAGGCTCAAGAAGAACAACAACTCAATCAAAGCAAATTAAATATCTCAAAGAGTCGGTCAGCCTGGCCACAGCTGACAGAAAACAATCTAGATATTAACAGTGTTGGGCAAGTTACTTCAAAACTGTAATGCATTATTTATTACTTGTTATCCTCATTTTAAAGTAATTAATTACATTACAATATTACTGATTTTAAAATGTAAGTTACACTACTTTTGCATTACTTGAAGTAACTTTCACCAAAACAACTTCAATATGAATCTGGTAATCTGGCGCTCAGTGAGCTCATGACATATATGTGGAAAGTGATGTGGTATCTGAGCTAGGATTGCTATTAAAAACAGTCAGATATAATAACAGTGCTTTAAAATGATTGTTTATTAAATGAAAGCAACAACAATCTGTACTCTCAGCACGCTGCCATCTTATATTAACTGAGCAGGGAGTGAGGTGGTGGGGGCTCCAAGCCTATATTTGCCTTGGTCCCCAAATGCCTTGATATGGCCCTGGATGTGGGACTGTCTTCTGAGGTGATCTGATTCTGTCACATGTATAAATATTAAATGCTTATATATGATTGCTTTTCACTGGTAAAAATGTGTATTGGGGATAAATCTACCTACTTTTTTCTTTTCAAGCACTTTGTTTTGTTTTCTTGATTTTATGTGAATAATTTCCTGCCCTTTCTCTCTCTAACCTTCCTGCATGCTGCATGTTTTCTCCGTCTTCCAGAAAAACTGTTTCCTAGATTTCCTACTTTCTAACTAACCAGCCAAAGGGATCTACCGAACTCAAAAATAAATAAATAAGCTTTGCGCTGCGTTCCAGCAGCAATGAGTTGAAATCACCGGTGCACAGATTATGAACTCAGCTGAAAATTACATGAAGTACCAGAGAATATGGGCGGATATAAACGATCGCAAACGAATTACTTTGTTTTGGTGGAGCGGTTTTGTGAATATAACAGCGGCCGCGCGCAGGACGCAGCTGGAGTATTTGAGCCATTACCGCTGTGTCCTCTCTGCTCATAAAATGCCCGCAAAGCTGAGTCCATAAATGACGTAATATATGTAGATACTGGATCTTTTTTCAGGCTTCCCGCAATTAGAATTTTTAGGAAACCCGCGTCTTGATTCTAGGTTTAAAAATGCATTGTAATTACCGCTTTACTGACAATTGTACCGAGTAAATATAACCATTTTCTTTCCCTGTAATGCCTTACATTACCACATTACAGCAAAAAGCAATGCATTACAGTAGTTAATTACTTTTGTACCGCGTTACTCCCAACACTGAATATTAAACAGTTAAAACAAACGTACCTTACTTGGATTATCCGATGGTGTTTTTGGTACGGAAGGGAGACCGTTTTTCTATTTTGAAGCAATCACGCGGTTGACCGCTTATTCTGAATTTATTAGAGAGAATGGAAGAAAAAGAGAAATAGAGGAGAAAAAGAAAAAAAAAAACTCTTCTCTGATTGAACCCGAAGCGTCCCTCTGAGTTCAAACGAACCAGATGGCGATTCCATTGCTTTTCAGCCGTCAGGCCTCGTGCCTGAGTCCGGAGCTGGAAAACGAGTGCCTCTTCACGCCAGTTGAACTGGAACAAAAGACGATAAGTTTCATTTTTCGCTGGGATTTATAGACTCCGCTGTCCAGCGGGAGAAACTCTGTGTAGCTCCAGCACATGCGCAGAACTTGTTTCCGGTATTCGACGCCGCTTCCGGGAGCAGGGAATCCTGGGAAATGAAGTCACTGCTGGCGCTGGAATATATTCTGCTTTTCAGAGCGCAGATGACACAGTCTTTTGGAGAAATTACTGCATAGTAATTTCCTCATGAGGGCAGACCCTCAACAACCCTATCAACACTTTTAGACCCCAGATTTAAAACACTCGGATTTCGTAGTTCCTCAAAGTGTAGTGAGGCTGTCAATCGCCTGAAAATGGAGTGTGCTGCAGTAATTGCTCGCACAACATCTGAGCCACAGCCTGGACTTTCATCAGAGCAGTTACCCATTTCAGGCAAGTTGTTCAGTATTATCAGCTTATTTTCACATTTGTTTTGTTGCTAATGTGTATTAATACAGAGTAGAAGACAAAAACTAAAACTTCTATGTATTTTTTATTATTTCACATAATCTGTGGCAGCAGCTTGATCAAGAGTTTGGCAGTCAAACCACCAATGCAACAGCTGACTATCATTGAGGTCCAGCGCTACTTAGCAGAGGGAAACATTTCAAGACCAGAAAATCCGTTAACATACTGGGGGAACCGGAAGACATCCTACCCAAACTTTTTCCACCTGGCTTTACAGGTTTTGTGTACCCCAGCTTCTTCTGTGCTCTGTGAACATGTGTTTTCAAAAGCTGGTGAAATTGTGTCCAAAAAACGCAATAGACTAAATGCCAAAACATTGGATAAACTTATTTTTCTGAATAAAAATTTATTAAAAAAAAACCTTTTGAGTCAATGACACTGAAATGGGTAATATCACATTCACAACACTGTCACTTTAATTGTCACTTGGTATCATTCACAGAATATTTTGAGGTGTATATATTTTAAATGTAGAAGTTTAAAATAATACCGTATGAAGTAGGCCTACAATAGCTTACAGTGTGTACAAGGATGATTAGGTCATTGAATCCGTGTCTGTTGTGAGTCTTCAGTATGTTGCCGGCAAACATATTTAAAGTTCAGTATGTGTAATTATAGAGCAAAACAGCAGCGGAATGAGGCTTCATCTACCCATCCCTAAGTACAATTATTTACTTTAAAATATAGAACAAAGATAAAACAGAACAGAATAGGTTTACATATACAATACATATAGAAAAAATTTTACACAGTACAGATAAAGATTTAGTAGACCACAGATGCAAGGATAGGTTAATGGAAGGCATCATGAAAAAGTTTAGTTTTTAATTAGTTTTCAGACCTGCAGAGAAAATAAACCTACAAGATGCAGAAAAAAGGATAAACCTCCAACCTACACACTGTCAGCAATAAACGCAGCAAAACTTAACTTTCATGACCAAAAAAACCCATAAAAATTATTCAATAAATCAGGAGAGCAGGAACAAGTCTTATTTCTGATTTTACATTTTTTATTTCAATTCAAACTATTTAGACTTTTGTGTTTTCATCACATTTAGCTTGTATTTTATATAAAATATCATCAGCTTTACAGGTTAGCTGCTCCTGTGTGCTTAAAAAGTTATGTTACTAACCTTCTAAAAAAATTACCAAACCATTCACATGATGTAATTTGTTATTCATTATCTGAAAGTATCTGATTAGTTTAAAAAAACTAAATATGTTTTGTTCAATTTGGTTTTCAGAATGTCACTAGTTTACTTATACTTTTAAAAAATATATATACTGATGTACTCAGAGGCGGAGCTGGCCTAAATGGCGCCCTGTGCGAGATCCCCCTGTGACCCCCCCCACACACACACACACACACAAGAAAAAACATTACACCTACAACTTTGTTTCAAATTGCGTGGAGTGTATTATATATAACAACGTTTGCTGACTGAATACAACATCCAGCTCCTGGCCACCTTCTCACCACTTGTCAAAGTTCTACTGAAATAGACACACTTAACGCAACATGATGGCATCATCGACTTGTACAGTACAGATGTGCTGAAAGGCGAGAGTCTCAACTTTCAGCTAAAAAAAGAACGCTCTAGCTATTATAGTTTTTATTTTATGGCAGTTTTCAGTTTAAACGGGATCTTACTAGCAGGGCACCTCCAGCAGCCCGCTGCCGCTTCGTTTTTCATGGGGTAAATAATAGCTCATTTCCCGATTCCAAAAAGAAAGAATGGTCCTACCAGCTCGCCACTTCAATATGAAGAAGATCAGTTCAACATGGGGAAAAAAAACCTGACCTGTAGGCCAGAGAAACGTTCATTAGCACATCAAGTTCGATTCAGTTTACCGGTAAACATATCACGAATGTACAACAGGTCAATTATTAATCATCTTGGCTACGTAGCTTAATCTATACATTCCAGTAGCGTTTGCTACAAACAAATACAAAAACAACAATAAAGGAAAGCAACTGTCTGACAGACAACATAGCCGAATTCAAGGCAACACATAACAATAATCATTCGATTGCTCTTGGTTTTAAGTTAAGCCCATTAAAGTGCTTAAGTAAATAAAAGTGTTTCAAAAACAGCGTTTTTGAACCGGAGTTCTGCTCGCGGGGGGAACTCCGCCGAACAAGGTCATTTTTTATAGCGAAAACGATCGACTGGTCACTGACAAGTAAAAGGGTGTTATTGGTAGATGTTAAGAACACTTACCGCTGAGGTAAAATGAGAGTATAAATGAATTGAGGGGAGAAAAACGCTTTGTTTTTAGCCCGGAAGTATTCCCCCACAGCCAGCTTTCATTGTTGCCGCGACGTGGAAGGAGCCAATCAGGAGAGGGACCTCACATCAGCTGACGTGGGTCATGTGACAGGGAGTAGTTGATATGGGTTACACTTTGTTGTGCTTTTATTACAGAAATAGTATTATTATCATCACTATTATTAAGAACATGCGATTTCTATGTTTTGTTTATGTATTGGTTGATGCTTAAAAAAATTTTTTTTAGAAGAAAAAAAAAAAAGGAAATTAAATGCCGCCCCCTGCAGACTGCCGCCCTGTTCGGCCGCACATATTGCACATATCAAGCTCCGCCACTGGATGTACTGAAATACAGAGAAATCAACTTGTGAGTACAATGAATGTTAATATAGTAAGTATAGCATGTTTAACATAAGCACATTCACACATGTAAAGTATCAATGTAAACTAGAACTGCAAGCAGTTATCAACGGATTCCAAGCCATCCAGCGCCAGTCGCCCACCCGGCCCCGCCCTCACCTTCGCCATTCCTCACGCGGTCCCGCCCCAAAAACACGTTCTCCCGCCGGCGTCCCGTCAGCTCACTTCAACCGGCGCAATGAAAGTAACACTCAGGATACGTCATGAAACCTTTTTCTTAGCCTATACAAATTTTTTACAGGCATGGCTAACTTGACTCAATCGTGATTACAATCAAATTCCACTGTTTCCTTATCAAAGAACGTGAAGATTTAATGAGCAAAATCATGTTCTGCATGGGACAGAATTAGCTCAGGAAGTGGAGCGGCATGTGTGGTAATCGATAGGTTGAAGGATCGATCCCAACACTGACCAGAAAATGCTGCCTCGCCTCTCAGTGCACCCCAGGGAAGGTGTGGCTACATTGTAGCTCATTCCCAACAGCGTGTGGCTGGGTGGTTGAATGGATGAAAGACTCCAAAACAAAAACTTCCTTATAAAATCCATATTTGATCTGAAGATTACCAAACAATAATCTATACATCAAGAGTATAATAGGAATAACATCAATACTTGATAATGTCCATAGATTGAATAGATTGTCAACAAAAACTGAGTTTCATTTTGTGACTTACTGATCAAATGTTTTTTAAAAAATCCTGAAAAATAAATAGACCATCATTAAATTACCAAAATATTCTCACATGGCAATGTTAACATGCGGAATAATATGATGTTGTTTTTAAATCAGTAGACTCAAAGCTTTTTTGAAGAAAAATTGGTAAATATAACTATAAGGGTCACAGCAAAAATTAAAATATTCATAAAAAAATAGTGCTACTTTCTAAAATTAATAGAAAAATCGCAGATCACCATAGGTACATGTGGAATGTTATAAATGTTTTATATTTACTTTATACCTAAAAAAAACTTTCTAACAAAAATTATTTACTTTTTGTCCAACTATACAGAAAAATTGGCAAAAAGTAAAAAATTCATTAAAAATCAATGCTATTGTACAAAAATTTCAAAGTATTCCCAGATTACCTCTGTGATGCGAGAATTCTGTTTGTATTTTTGTTGGGATCATAAATTTTAAACTTTTCTTACAATAAAATAATATTTCCATTAGTGGCTGTAAACAAAAATAAGTCCTATAATTAAACACAAGGGGGTGCTCAAATCAAGTCAACATGTTATGTGTTTCATAAGATTGTGATAACAGAATTTGCGCTACAACTGCTAGCCTAAAATGTATTTCCGTAAATATAATGCGCAAACCACTTCGTGGAGCTGCGATTTTCGTGACATAAGCTCAAGGCTACCCAGTTAACACAACCTAAAAATCTTAGCCTCTTACATGCAAATAATGATTTTTAGGAAATTTTTCAAATTTGAAATTTAAATGATTATAAACCATGCCCACTTTGATTGATCATTACCATATTGATAATGTAGTCTTAAGACTCTATAATGACAACCACTAAGTTTCGTGCAGATCCATTTAGCCAGTTCAGCAGTATAATTTCTTCCTAGTTATAGAGTCCCCTATTGTTGAATCAAGTTGAAAATCAAGATATACACTTGAATTGACCTTAGGCATGGTGGTTATGAACAGCTATGAAAAATGTCAAAATGTTTTGAAGTTATACCAAAAAACTTCTTCATTCCAAAAAAAAACTATTTAAAAAATCATATTAAAAAAAAGGCAAATTATCCAAAATCCCTTCAGCCGCTCCTCCTCTCTTGTCAGGCAAAGTTGTGATGTGATTGTGTTTGATGGCTGGGAGGAGTTAACGAAAGTAGGTTTGACTTACTATGCAAATTTCTACTAATTTGCATAAGTTTAAAAAATTTTTTTAAATACTCATCTAAACTTGACTGACTCAATGAACATGCAGGATGAGATCATTTGTTTTTTTATGAAAGAAATGGGGAGAAACATGCCATAAACATTTTTGGGGTACAACAGCGCCACCTAATGGACAAAATTCAATTTTTTTCTGTGATTGTAGGTATCACGATGACTGATATGAATTGTAACTTTCTGTATAGAATATGTATTTTTCATGAGTAAAAGGGCGAAAAATTTTAAAGGCTATAAGCCACGCCCACTTTTTAATCATTTTCAAAATATGACTTAAGGGTCCAATGATAAACATATCTGCCAAGTTCTGTGGAAATCCATCGAGCAATTTTGCTGAAACAAACTTTTTGACTCTTTAGCGCCCCCTATTGGTGAATCCAAACAAAATTTGGTAGATAGGGCTTACCGCTCACACTTTGTAAGGGTCTAGAGTCTCATCACTTTATCTTGAAAAATGGTGAAGATGTCATCAATTAGGACATGTGCTAGCTAGCGCACTGAATTTGACATAGGGTCATTAGCCCAATTTTCAATAATTTCGCATTTTTCTTCATCAAAACAACTTAACTTAATCCATAGATCATATGTACAAAGTTTGAAGTTGGTTTGACAAAAAGTGACGAATAGGTGATTAAAACTAAGTTTTGTGTTTTTTGCGATCTAGCAAAAAAATCTAGTAGGCGGAAATGGGCGTGGCCAATACAAAAAAGATGCAGAATCTTCCAAGGATCATGTGCATATAAAGTTTTTGACTGTACGACCTACGGTTTGGGAGCTAGTAGCTGAAACGCCTTCACCTCCGCAATAGCGCCACCTAGGTGACTCAGGGTCCAAATTTTTCGAATCTGAGTAGCGGTCAGGATTTTCTATCAGACTGCCATGTCAGATTTTCCTGGCAATTTCAGGCTCTTGCGCCCATACAGTATTAGCGGAGAAGAAGAATAATGAATGAAAAATCCGTAGAAAAACAATAGGGTTCCAATGCCCTTTGGGCTAAATCATATGGCAGTAACTCTGCTGTACTTTCATGGTGTAAAAGTAGCTCACTGGCCAAAAAAGGTTGGAGACCCCGCAACAGATCGTTCAGCCCTAGTGGATGCTTAGATGATTGTTTAATGTTTTGTTTCAGCTAAATCTTCGTCCACAAAGCTCACAAGCAAAATGCTTCTGTCATTTGTGGACTCCCATGTGTTTATTTAAATTAATCTTTTCGCTAAATCTTTTTCCACAAAACTCACAAGCAAAGGGCTTCTCTCCTGTGTGGACTCTCGTGTGTTTGTTTAAATGTGTCTTTTGGCTAAATCTTTTGCTACAGAACTCACAGGCGAAAGGCTTCTGTCTGGTGTGTACTCTCATGTGTGTGTTTAAAGTCGACTTTAAGCTAAATTTCTTTCCACAGAGCTCACAAGCAAAATGCTTCTGTCCTGTGTGGACACTCATGTGTGTGTTTAAATGCCGCTTTACACTAAATCTATTTCCACAGAACTCACAAGCAAAGGGCTTCTCTCCTGTGTGGACTCTCGTGTGTGTGTTTAAATTTGACTTTAAGCTAAATTTCTTTCCACAGAGCTCACAAGCAAAAGGCTTCTGTCCTGTGTGGACTCTCATGTGGATGTTTAAATTTCCCTTTACACTAAATCTATTCCCACAGAGCTCACAAGCAAAAGGCTTCTGTCCTGTGTGGACTCTGATGTGTTTGTTTAAACTTCCCTTTTCACTAAATCTATTCCCACAGAGTTCACAAGCAAAGGGCTTCTCTCCTGTGTGGACTCTCGTGTGTTTGTTTAAAGTTGACTTTAAGCTAAATTTCTTTCCACAGAGCTCACAAGCAAAAGGCTTCAGTCCTGTGTGGACTCTCATGTGTGTGTTTAAACTTCCCTTTTCACTAAATTTATTCCCACAGAGCTCACAAGAAAAGGGCTTTGCTCCTGTGTGGACTCTCATGTGTCTGTTTAAATTTGTCTTTTGGCTATATCTTTTGCTACAGAACTCACAGGCGAAAGGCTTCTGTCCTGTGTGGACTCTCATGTGTCTGTTTAAAGTTGACTTTAAGCTAAATTTCTTTCCACAGAGCTCACAAGCAAAAGGCTTCTGTCCTGTGTGGACTCTCATGTGACTGTTTAAAAGTGTCCTATGAGAAAAGGATTTGTTGACAGTCCTAAAATCTGACTCAGAACACCTGTTCTCATTCCAGTCATTGTCTCGGTCTCCAGTTTCAGACCCAGAGTCTGACAGCTCAGAGTCTAGATTTGCATCTTCATCATCATCTCCAACGTCAGTCTCTGAAGAATCAGGAGTCAGTTCGTGAGGGTTCAGATCTGGGTTCCGGCTAGTTTCTAGTCCACCAGTTTCTGCTATCGTCTGGTAAGCTGAGCTGCTGGTTGAAACATCTCTGTCTTCTATTTGCTTCTGATGAAGCTGTGAGAACAGAGGCTTCTCTTCATCTTCCTCACTCTTTATAGAAGCAACAGTGAATGGAAACCTGGCAGCATCAGTCTCCTCTTTCAAATGGAGATGCACCCCTTCCATACTGGGCCAGGGTTTCTCCTGTTCCTCCTTTATGTGGAGAAAATCTAAGTCCTGATGGTTGTCACCAGCGCTATGTTCTTCTAGAGCTTCTTCTTTAACCAGCACCACCTGTTGAAAAGCTGTAGGAAACACAGAAACGCAAGATGTGAATTACCGACAGCTGTAACTGTGTTTTCAAACATATAACAGGAGCCCTGACAAACGGCCAAGTAAAAGACGCATAATAACACCTATTATAAAAAGATCTTTTTTCCCTGCACACTGGACCAGGACATGAAAATCCAATGAGCTGCATACTGACCAGAAAGTTTGCCCTTATAGCCTGGTGATATTGTGTGTGTGTGCGCGCGCATCTTACATCCGCTGTGAGGACACATTTTTCACCTCTAACATGGGGACATATTAAAATTGTGAGGACATTTGCTAGGTTATCACAGTGAATAAAAACCTAATTTGGTTTTAGAGGAATGGTGTGAATTAATTTTTAGTTGAGGTTAAAGTTTGTCATGTTGTGGGCAAGCTGTTTAACTCAGGACATGAAGAACCACACGAAAAAAACAGGTAAGTAAAATAGTAAAATGATTTATTAACTGAGGGTAAGGAAAACTAAAGGAGCTGCTCCATAAAAACAGGAACAGGACAGGACGGGAATCTAAAACGAAATAATAAACAATTGTGAAACTTGTGCCGGAACCAGAGAACCAAGAGAATAATCTATTTCTGGGTATAATTGTTCTTACGGTCATAGACCAGGGCTTAGCGGTGGTGGACTGGGTGAAGATCAGTTGAGGAGAGGCGAGAGAACCGATGACTGAAGAGGAGGTGATCAGGAGATGGTTGTATGAGTCCAGGGTGTAGGTTGGCAAGCAGGTGAGCGATAGAGTGGAGGCCAGAGGATCCTGAACGGCGGGACGTGGAATACAACATCAGGCGTGGTTAGAGGATACGAGGCGAGATACTGGAACAAGAACACAGGATTTCATAGGACAAGTTCGCAGGAATTTCAGGAGATATACTGGGCTAGAAGCTACCCTTGGTGAGAGTATCAACCGGCGCTGGAGTTGTGTCACACCGCTCCTTAAATCCCCTGGCCCTCTGATTAGCGTAATCAGGATCAGCTGAAGCTCGTTGCCACGCCCACCTGCAACACAAAAGCTGACTGCCAGGTCTCCTCTCCTGCTGATTGAGGCAGACTGCGACGGTACCCCCCCCAGCGACGCCACCTGGCAGCCCAGCAGAGGAGGAGGAGGAGGCAGAAAGAGGAGGCCTCGAAGTCCCAGATTAGAGAGGAGTCCTCGTTCCAGGACCCAGAGATCCACTGCCTGTGCTCGTGACCATACACTTCCCAGTCCACCAGGAACTGACGACCACGGCCGCGTGGCCGGACGTCCAGGATGCGGTGAACCTTGTAGCCGAGACCACCATCAGCGAGGCGGACCGGCGGAGGAGGATCAGCAGGAGGGCACTGAGGACTGGAAATCACAGGTTTGAGTAGGGAGACATGAAATACTGGATGTACCTTCATTGACGGAGGCAAGGAGAGGTGGACGGAGACGGGACCAAGGACTTTGGCTAGTGGAAAAGGACCGAGGTAGCGGGGAGCAAACTTCCTGTTGGCGCCCCGGACCTTGATGTCCCGGAGGACAGCCAAACCATCTGCCCCGGGGTGTAAACAAGCACCGGGCGTCTGTGACGATCCATGAACCTGCGGCTACGATCAGCTGTGCGGTGAAGGGCAGCCCGGGTCTGGTTCCAGGTGCGTCGGGCCCGGCGGAGAAACAGGGGAACTGTGGTGGAGGTAATGGAGTCGGAGGGAAACAGAGGAGGTTGATATCCAAGGGAGACCTCAAATGGAGGTTATGGGCATACTCCACCCATGACAATTGTGAACTCCAACCAGCATGATTCGAGGAGCAGATACAACGCAGCATAGCCTCCAGTTCCTGTTTCATGTGCTCTACCTGGCCGTTAGTCAGTGGGTGAAAACCAGAGGTGAGAGAGACCCGGGCCCCCAGGTGGTTAGCAAATTCTGTCCAGACGCGGGATGTGAACTGGAGACCTTGGTCCGACAGGATCTCGGTTGGCAGACCATGTAGACGGAAAACATGTTTTACGAGCAGTTCAGCGGTCTCAGCAGAGGATGGGAGTGATTTTAGTGGAACCAGATGGCAGGCCTTAGAAAAACGGTCGACAATGGTGAGTATGACAGTGAACCCTCTGGATGTGGGGAGACCAGTTGCAAAGTCCAGGGCGATATGTGACCATGGACGAGGAGGGACCGGCAGAGGCTGTAGGAGATCTTGAGGTGATTGGTTACTGCTCTTATGTCTGGCACATACCTGGCAGGCGCTGATGTACTCCTTGACGTCTTTATACATGGATGGCCACCAAAAGGTCTTTCTGATGAGGGTTATGGTTCTGCCAAGGCAAGGGTGGATAGAGAACCTCGCCGTATGTGCCCAATGTATCAGAGCCCCTCGGGTGCTGGAAGGAACATAGATTTTGTGTGGTGGACCGGTACCTGGATCTGGTTCATGTCGTTGGGCCTCCAGAACCTTGTTAGTTATGTCCCAGGAGATGGAGCCAACTATATAGGAGGCAGGAAGGATGGTGGTAGGTTCCACTTCTCTGTCCGAAGCGTATTGGCGAGAGAGGGCGTCAGGTTTGATGTTCTTAGAGCCGGGTCTGAAAGAAATGATAAAGTTGAAATGGGAAAAGAATAATGACCAGCAAGATTGACGGGTGTTCAGTCTCTTAGCCTCTTTGAGGTAAGCCAGGTTCTTGTGGTCGGTCCATATGACTATGGGGTGTTCTGCTCCCTCCAACCAGTGACGCCACTCCTCCAATGCCAGTTTTATAGCCATCAACTCTCGGCCACCCACGTCATAGTTTTGCTCAGCTGGAGTGAGACGACGGGAGAAAAGGGCGCAGGGATGGAGGCAGTGATCTGTTGGGGAGACCTGAGAGAGAACAGCCCCTACCCCAGTGTCGGAGGCGTCGACTTCCAGGGTGAACTGAGATGAGGTGTCTGGGTGTGTGAGTATGGGTGCTTGGGTGAAACTGTTTTTGAGAGAGTGGAAAGCCTGGTCAGCCTCCTGGGACCACAAAAAGGATTTCTTGATGGAAGTCAGCTGTGTCAGGGGTGCGGCGATCTGGCTGTAGTTTCTAATGAATTGGCGGTAAAAGTTAGCGAAACCCAGAAATCGTTGCAGTTGCTTACGTGTAGAAGGGGTTGGCCATGTCTGAATGGCGACAACCTTGTCGGGGTCCATCTTCAGCCGACCACTCTCCAAAACAAATCCTAGAAACTTGACAGAGGATGCGTAGAACTCACACTTCTCGGCCTTAACAAATAACCGGTTCTTGAGTAGACGTTGGAGCACAGCTCGGACGTGTTGACGGTGTTCTGGAAGTGTTCTGGAAAACATAAGAATATCGTCCAGTAAACTGTAGCAAACTTGTTAATATAATCACCTAGCACGGAGTTGACCAGAGATTGAAAGACTGCAGGAGCGTTGCTTATTCTAAATGGCATGACTAGGGATTCTAAGTGACCAAGTGGGGTTTTGAAGGTCGTCTTCCACTCGTCCCCCTTACGGATCCTTACCGGTGGTAGGCGTTTCGCAGGTCTAATTTAGTGAAAATGGATGCATCGTTTACCAGCTCAAAAGTTGAGGACAGCAGGGGCAGAGGATACTTGTTTTTTATGGTGATCTGGTTTAGTCCTCTGTAGTCGATACACGGGCGGAGCGACCCATCCTTCTTGGACACGAAGAAGAAGCCAGCACCCAGGGGGGACGTGGACGGTCTTATGATTCCTGAAGCTAGGGACTCTGAAATGTATTTTGACATGCTCTCTTGCTCAGGTTTTGAAAGATTGTAAAGTTTACTTGTTGGTAGAGTGGCATCGGGAATGAGGTCAATCCCGCAGTCATAAGGGCGATGAGGAGGCAGTGAGGACGCCCGGTCCTTGCTGAAGACCTGTTGCAGGTTGTGGTACTCGGAGGGGACTCCAGTCAGATCAGATGGTTTCTGAGTTGGGTTCTCGGCGGTCTGGATGGGAAGAGGAGCTGAGAGGAGACAATGAGACAGACAGAACAGGCTCCAAACTGACACCAACCCGGTCAGTTGGGGGTTATGTGAAGCCAACCACTCATCACGTGTGTGTGTGTGTGTGTGTGTGTGTGTGTGTGTGTGCCAAAGTTTTAATCATTGTTGGTCATTCACATGTGAGGTTATGACATGAATGTGTATATAGGTTTTATGGGTTTTACAAATGTGTAATTTGGATGTGTTTTTAGAATTTAGAGATTTTAGTGCCGGCTGCTTCACAATGCTGTCTCGAATTGCCCCTCGGGGACTAATAAAGTTGTCTTGAGTCTTGAGTCTTGATATCCTAGCACAACTGGGGACTGTGGAGAGGGAAACACATAAAAACTTAAGAGTCTCATGATGATTACCAGAGATTAACGGGTTTATGGGCATGGTGCGATGGGTTATGGTTGTGAGGGCGCAGCCATCAAGCGAGGAGGCACGAATGGGTGTGGAGAGAGGAGTAGTGGGAATGTCCAGCTGCTGCACCACCGCTTGGTTCAGAATGTTCCTCACACCCAGAGTCCACCAGCGCCTTGGTTGGGAAAGTTCGTTGGAGGAAGGAAATTATACAAGTTATATTGCACCGGGAATTTTGAGCACTAGGAATCCTACCCACCAGTAATCCCGGTCCTACTGGTGGGCTGCGGTTTTTGGCCGAACAGGGCAGTTTTGGATTAGGTGACCCGGCTGACCACAATAGAGACAAAGACCCAGGGAGCGGCGTCTCAATTTCTCCTCTGGAGTTAACTGTGCTCGTCCAATCTGCATGGGTTCGTCGGATCCCGAGGGAAGGAGGTGTTGTTGATGTGTTTGGTGGGGACAGACTGTTTACCATGCTGGAGATTCCATATCTGTTTGGCGATTTCTGCAGGAGACTCTGTCTGATCAAATAGTTGTCTGAATTCGGCTAAAAAAGCCGAGAGCGAACCTCGCAGGAAGCTAGCCTGCCAGCTCTTAGCCTCGGCCCATTGTAGAGCCCTACCCCGGAGTAAGCGACTATGTACGAGATCTTGACCGAATCATTGATGAATGTGTCTGGTGACCTTTCAAAGGCAAACTGACTGAGTATTAGGAAACAGCGGCATTTACCTGGTTCGCCGGAGAATGTATCAGGCTGTGGCAACTCTGGAACCCGGAAACTAACCCCAAGCTGCTGAACCGGAAGTGGTGGTGAAGACGAAGCTACGGAAGTAGTGGGAGGAGGCAGCAGAGACGTGAGCTTCTCATTCATTTGGCATAAGGCGGTGTCGAGCTGGAAAAGACATTGATTAATGCCGGATAACTGTTCGAGTACTGACCGGATGGATCTTTCGTGCTGGGACAACGTGTAAGCGATGGCGACAGGAAGTGGTTCTTCAGGGGTTGCATTCGTTTGGCCGGTTGATTCTGTCATGTTGCGGGCACGCTGTTTAACCCAGGACATGAAGTACCACACGAAAAACAGGTAAGTAAAATAGTAAAATGATTTATTAACTAAGGGTAAGGAAAACTAAAGGCGCTACTCCAGAAAAACAGGAACAGGACGGGACGGGAAACTAAAACGAAATAATAAACAATCGTGAATCTTGTGCCGGAGCCAGAGAACCAAGAGAATAATCTATTTCTGGGAAGAATTGTTCTTACGGTCATAGACCAGGGCTTAGCGGTGGTGGACTGAGTGAAGGTCAGTTGAGGAGAGGTGAGAGAACCAATGACTGAAGAGGAGGTGGTCAGGAGATGGTTGTATGAGTCCAGGGTGTAGGTTGGCAAGCAGGTGAGCGATAGAGAGTGGAGGCCAGAGGATCCTGAATGGCGGGACATGGAATACAACTCCAGGCGTGGTTAGAGGATACGAGGCGAGATACTGGAACAAGAACTCACAGGATTTCATAGGACAAGTTTGCAGGTATTTCAGGAGATATACTGGGCTAGAAGCTACCCTTGGTGAGAGTATCAACCGACGCTGGAGTTGTGTCACACCACTCCTTAAATCCCCTGGCCCTCTGATTAGCGGGATCAGGATCAGCTGGAGCTCATTGCCACGCCCACCTGCAACACAAATGCTGACTGCCAGGTCTTCTCTCCTGCTGATTGAGGCAGACTGTGACAGAGTTGGGAATACAGCAACAGTAGTTACTTAACCAGACAGGTAATCGAGAGAACAGGGAAATGACCTGCCATTACCCTGGCCCACTCAGTGATTGCCGTCAGTCATGACATGCTTCATGTCTAAATGAACAATCCGTCATGTGACTAATCGGGCCTGTATTGGCGCTTTCACATCTGGGCAAGCACGGATCGGACTGTGTGGCATTTGTCCGGGTCCTGCACCAGTAGGTTTTCTTCACACACACTTCTCATGAATGGGGACATCTCCTAGCTGGTGAGCTGGGCCAAATAAAGCACAGAGAAAGTCAGTGGTGACTCCCTTAAACAATGGCTGTGCAGCTTAAATCTCTTTGTGTGTTTCTGTGTGTGTGTGCACTCCTCACAGCAGTGAGCAGTGAGTTTGAACCGGCCAATCAGTAGGTAATGGGTGTGTTGGACCTGTTCAGCCCAAAGCAGACCTCTTTGGTTCGACTGGTTTAGTGCAGAAAACCTAGATATGGACACTTTAAAAGCTACCCAGTCTGGTCCATGCTGGCCCAGATGAAAAAGCACCATAAGTGACCATTTTGGAAGAACCAGTATAAGGTGGTGTTTTAGGGCCAATTGAGTTAACACAAAGTGCACATTGCGCAATGATGAGTATGCAGGGTGGGTTTGAGTGAGTAAGAAGAAACAATGGCTGCCAGGATTTGATCATCTGATCAGCATCACCTGACACCACTTCTAATTTTGACCTTTCATCATACTGGGACTTTTTTTCTAGGGTACAATGCTTACCTGTAAAATGTCCTGGTATTTATTAGTCCAAATCTCTGTGATGTCTGAAAAACATATCTGTGTTCAGAAAAGAACCAAATAATGGAATTGGATAACAAACACAGATTATATTTAACAAAGATGTTCAAAGCCTTTTCTCCGCCCGCAGCACAGTCGGAGCTGCTTGAATAGAATAGAATAGAATAGAATTCTTCCCACAGTGGGGAAAATCACTCCTTACAACAGAACATACACTTAGAGAAAAATAAGCAGAAAAATAAGCTATTATTGTAACCTTCAACCACTAAAATCAACGAATAAAATAAAAACTTGGGTTTCCAGAAATATGCATCATAAAGGACACTGACATACTAATGTACATCAGTGCACAAGTACTGAACACATTCTGAATATTGCATTGATGTCATTGTGTAACAGAGCCATTATACACGTTTACTGCAGAGGGGATGTACGACCTATGGTAGCGTTCTATTTTACATCTGGGATGTCTCAGTCTGCCACTGAAGGAGCTGTCCAAGGCCTCCACAGTGGAATGCAGTGGGTGAGATGTTTTTTTAAGATGGAGGTCATCTTCACCATCATCCTCCTTTCACACATCTCCTCTACTGAATGTAGTTGGCAGCTGGGGATTAACTTTGAAGAACCTCAGCCTCCTCAGGACGTGGAGGCGGCTTTGTCCCTTCTTATACAGAGCATCTGTGTTGTTGGACCAGTTTAGTTTACTGCTCAGGTGAACACCCCGGTACTTAAAGGTATTCACCACCTAAATGTCTGAATCCTGGATGTTTACTGGTGACTGTGGAGTAGTGTTTCTCTGGAAGTCAATCACCATCTCCTTTGTCTTACTGGTGTTCCAGCAAACACCAGTCAATAAAGTCTATGATGACTGACCTGTACTTCAGGTCATTCCCCACTGACACACAGCCAAGTCATCTGAGAACTTCTGGATGTGACAGCGCTGCTGGTGTTGTAGGTGAAATCCGAGGTGTAGAAGGTAAATAGCAAACCTTTCTTTTCATTGCAAGTCAAAGCATTAGGAAACGGCCGCGAAACATCCAAAATTTTCTCTCTCTGAGCCTCAGAACCTGGCTGAGCTGGAGAGTTTTCTGCCATCCAGGATTTGATGTCTAAATTGCAGTTAAAAAGTGCATCCATTGGCCGTGTGTCATCAGGAGACACGGATGCACAACTGCGTATCATTTGAATAGCTGTGAAAGTTGACTCCATGTCTCCTGATGACACCACCAAGAGGGAGCATATAAAGGTTAAAAAGCACTGGGCTTAAAACTGAACCCTGAGGCACACCACATGTAATCCTATGAACCCTAGAGGAACAGGTATCTAAACTTACCATAAAAGTCCTGTCTGAGATAAGATGAGAACCATCTGTGAACAGTACCAGAGTAGCCAATTTCTTTTTGACATGTTAAAAGAATAGTGTGGTCTACAGTATCAAAAGCAGAACTTAGATCCAGTAGAACCAGCATTGTCGCTCTCTGTTCATCATAATTAGGGTTCCAAGCCCAAAGGGCAGGGAACCCTATTGTTTTTCTACGGATTTTTCATTATTATTAGGGTTCCAAGCCCAAAGGGCAGGGAACCCTATTGTTTTTCTACGGATTTTTCATTATTATTTATTATTAGGGTTCCAAGCCCAAAGGGCAGGGAACCCTATTGTTTTTCTACGGATTTTTCATTATTTATTATTATTTATTATTATTTATTATTCTTCTCCGCTAATACTGTATGGGGGCAGGAGCCTGAAATTGCCAGAAAAAATCTGACAAGGCAGTCTGATAGAAAATCCTGACCGCTACTCAGATTCGAAAATTTGGACCCCGAATCACCTAGGTGGCGCTATTGCGGAGGTGAACACGTTTCAGTTACTAGCTCCCAAACCGTAGGTCCTACAGTCAAAAACTTTATATGTACATGATCCTTGGATGATTCTGCATGTCGTTTGTATTGGCCACGCCCATTTCCGCCTAACTAGATTTTTTGCTAGATCGCAAAAAACACAAAACATAGTTTTAATTACCTATTCGTCATTTTTCGTCGAATCAACTTCAAACTTCGTACATATGATCTACGGACTAAGATAAGTTGTTGTGATGAAGAAACATGCGAAAATATTGAAAATTGGGCTAATGACACCATCTCAAATTCTGTTAGCTAGCTAGCACATGTGCTAATTGATGATATCTCCACCGTTGTTCAAGATAAAATGATGAGACTCTAGACCCTTACAAAGTATGAGCGGTAAGCCCAATATACTCAATTTTGTTTGGATTCACCAATAGGGGGCGCTTAAGAGCCAAAAAGTTAGTTTGAGCGAAACGGCTGGATGGATTTTCACAGAACTTGGCAGATATGTTAATCATCGGACCCTTAAGCTACATTTTGAAAATGATTAAAAAGTGGGCGTGGCTTATAGGCTTTAAAAATTTTCGCCCTTTAACTCATGAAAAATACATATTTTGTACAGAAACTTATAAATCATTTCAGTCATAGTGACATCTACAAGCACAGAAAGAAATTGGAATTTTGTCCAATAGGTGGCGCTGTTGTACCCAAAAAATGGTTTTGGCATGTTTCTCCTCAATGTTTCAGTAAAAAAACAAATGTTCTCATCCATTATGTTCATTGAGTCAGTCAAATTAAGATGAGTATTTTAAAAAATGTTTTAAACTTTTGCTAATTAGTAGAAATTTGCATAGTAAGTCAAACGTACTTTCGTTAACTCCTCCCGGCCGTCAAACTCAATCATATCACAACTTTCCCTGACAAGAGAGGAGGAGCAGCTGACCAAAAGTTGTGAAGGGATTTTGGATAATTTGCTTATTTGATTTTATATGATTTTTTAAAATAATTTTTTGGGAATGAAAAAGTTTTTTTAGCATAACTTCACTAGATTTTGACATTTTTCAAAGCTGTTCATAACAATCATACCTAAGGTCAATTCAAGTGTATATGTTGATTTTCAGCTTGATTCAACAACAGGGGGCGCTATAACTAGGAAGAAACTATACTGCTGAACTGGCTAAATTGATCTGCACGAAACTTAGTGGTTGTCATCCCTATAGAGTCTTAAGACTACATTATCAATATGGTAATGATTGATCAAAGTGGGCGTGGTTTATGATCATTTAAAATTTCAAATTTGAAAAATTTCCTAAAAATCATTCTTTGCATGTAAGAGGCTAAGATTTTCAGGTTCTGTTAACTGCATCAGATGCAGCTTAGATCATGAAAACCGCAGCTCCATGAAGAGGTTTGCGCTTTAAATTTACGAAAATACAATTTTAGGCTAGCAATTTTAGTGCAAATTCTCTTTTCACAATCTTCTTGAAATTTGGCACAAAGGTCACTCTTACGTGGTTTATGAAATAAAAAAAATGTCGTCTTGATTTGAGCTCCCCCTTGTGTTTAATTATAGGACAAATTTTTGTTTACAGCCACTAATGCAAATATTATTTTATTGTAAGAAAAGTTTAACAATTATGTTCCTTACAAAAATATGAGCACAATACACTCATCACAGAGGCAATCTGGGAATATTTTGACATTTTTGTACAAAAGCATTGATTTTTAATGAATTTTTAACTTTTTGCCAGTTTTTCTGTACAGGTGGACAAAAACGTAAATAAATTTTGTTAGAAAGGTTTTTAGGTATACAGTAAATATAAACCATTCATAACATTCCACATGTACCTATGGTGATCTGAGATTATTCTACTAATTTTACAAAGTAGCACTATTTTTTTATGAATATTAAAATTTTGGCTGTGATCCTTATAGTTATATTTACCAATTTTTCTTCAAAAAAGCTTTGAATCTACTGATTTAAAAACAACAGCATATTATTCCGCATGTTAACCTTGCTGCGTGAGAATATTTTGGTAATTTTAAGATGATATATGTATTTTTCAGGATTTTTTGAAATCATTTGATCAGTGAGTCACAAAGTGAAACTTATAGTTTTGGTTGAAAATCTTTTAAATCTAAAGACATTATCAAGTATTTATGTTATTTATAATATTCTGTTCATGTATAGATTATTGTTTGATAATCTCACTCATTAAATCTTCACGTTCTTTAATAAGGAAACAGTGGAATTCCATTGTAACCACGATTGAGAAGTCAGCCATGCCTCTGAAAGATATGTGTATAGGCTTTGCAGGTTTAATGAGGTATCCTGAGTGTTACTTTCATTGCGCCGGTTGAAGTGAGCTGACGGGACGCCGGCGGGAGAACGTGTTTTTGGGGCGGGACCGCGTGAGGACTGGCGAAGTTGAGGGCGGGGCCGGGTGGGCGACTGGCGCTGGGGGCTTGGAACCCGTTGATAACTGCTTGCAGTTCTAGTTAGGGTTCCAAGCCCAAAGGGCAGGGAACCCTATTGTTTTTCTACGGATTTTTCATTATTTATTATTAGGGTTCCAAGCCCAAAGGGCAGGGAACCCTATTGTTTTTCTACGGATTTTTCATTATTATTTATTATTCTTCTCCGCTACGTTTGTATGGGGGCAGGAGCCAGAAATTGCCAGGAAAAATCTGACATGGCAGTCTGATACAAAATCCTGACCGCTACTCAGATTCGAAAATTTGGACCCCGCGTCACCTAGGTGGCGCTATTGCGGAGGTCAACACGTTTCAGCTACTAGCTCCCAAACCGTAGGTCCTACAGTCATAAACTTTATATGTACATGATCCTTGGGTGATTCTCCATCTTTGTTGTATTGGCCACGCCCATTTCCGCCTAACTAGATTTTTTGCTAGATCGCAAAAAACTCAAAACTTACTTTTAATCACCTATTCGTCATTTTTCGTCGAATCAACTTCAAACTTCGTACATATGATCTATGGACTAAGATAAGTTGTGGTGATGAAGAAAAAGGCAGAAATATTGAAAATTGGGCTAATGACACCATGTCAAAATCAGTGTGCTAGCTAGCACATGTGGTAATTGATGATATCTTCACCATTTCTCAAGATAAATTGATGAGACTCTACACCCTTATGAAGTATGAGTGGTAAGCCCTATCTACCCGATTTTGTGTGGATTCACCAATAGGGGGCGCTAAAGAGTCAAAAAGTTTGTTTCAGCTAAACGGCTTGATGGATTTCCACAGAACTTGGCACATATGTTAATCATTGGACCCTTAAGCTATATTTTGAAAATGATTAAAAAGTGGGCGTGGCTTATAGGCTATAAATAGGCTTTAAACGTTTTCGCCCATTTACTCCTGAAAAATTCATATTCTATACAGAAAATTACAATTCATATCAGTCATAATGACATCTGCAATCACAGAAATTTTTTTTAATTTTGTCCAATAGGTGGCGCTGTGGTACCCCAAAAATATTTTTGGCATGTTTCTCCCCATTACTTTCGTGAAAAAACAAATGATCTCATCCAGTATGTTCATTGAGTCAGTCAAATTTAGATGAGTATTTTAAAAAATGTTTTAAACTTATGCAAATTAGTAGAAATTTGCATAGTAAGTCCAACGTACTTTCGTTAACTCCTCCCGGCCGTCAAACTCAATCACATCACATCTTTCCCTGACAAGAGAGGAGGAGCGGCTGACCAAAAGATGTGAAGGGATTTTGGATAATTTGCTTATTTTTTTTAATATGATTTTTTTTAAAAATTTTGGAGAATGAAAAAGTTTTTTTAGAGTAACTTCAAAAGATTTTGACATTTTTCAAAGCTGTTCATAACAGTCATACCTAAGGTCAATTCAAGTGTATGTCCTGGTTTTCAACTTGATTAAACAATAGGGGGCGCTATAACTGGGAAGAAATTATACTGCTGAACTGGCTAAATGGATCTGCACGAAACTTAGTGGTTGTCATCACTATAGAGTCTTAAGATTACATTATCAATATGGTAATGATTTATCAAAGTGGGCGTGGCTTATGATCATTTAAAATTTCAAATTTGAAAAATTTCCTAAAAATCATTCTTTGCATGTAAGAGGCTAAGATTTCCAGATTGTGTTAGCTGGATAGGCTAGAGCTTATGTCACGAAAGCCGCAGCTCCATGTTGAGGTTTACGCTTTATATTTATGAAAATACATTTTTAGGCTAGCAATTGTAGCGCAAATTCTGTTCTCACAACCTTCTTGTAATTTGCTACAAAGTTCACTCTTAGGTGGTTTATGAAACAAAAAAAATGTCGTCTTGATATGAGCTCCCCCTTGTGTTTAATTTTAGGACATATTTTTGTCTACAGACACTAATGCAAATATTATTTTATTGTAAGTACAGTTTTACATTTATGACCCCAACAAAAATATAAGAAGAATTCTCACGTCACAGAGGCAACCTGGGAATATTTTGAGATTTCTGTACAAAAGCATAGATTTTTAATTAATTTTTAACTTTTTACGAGTTTTTCTGTATAGTTGGACAACAACGTAATTAATTTTTGTTAGAAAACTTTTTAGGTATACAGTAAATATAAGCCATTTACAACATTCCACACGTACCTATGGTGATCTG